TACTTCCTTGCTGCTGTCTGCCATAGATGGGTCCAAATGGTTTGACTCATTATCTAGTAGGGTGTGTGTCTTCCCTATGGGCTTGATTCTCAAGTCGAAGGCCTCAGCCAGAGGCTTGCTGGCTTTCTTCTTAGGTTAGTTTTCCTAATGCTCAGGCCATGGCTTCGAATATCGTAGTCAAGCTCGGAATAGCTATTCACATATACTGCTTTGCTGCCGAATGAGCTTGCATGCATTGATCTCTCTTTACTCAACCTGCCCCAACAAGGAGCCTGATCACCGCCAGCGTCTACTTAGTTGGACCAGCTTTCCTGCCCTGGAGTCAGGTTCTGGCCCCAATCTGGCTTCCTTTTTCCTCACCAGCCCTGGTATCTGAGGCCACGGCCTACTTTGTACTCAAACCCCCAAATCATGACATGATAGCGTCAAGCAACTTTGTCCTGGGGGCTAGAATTCTCTACTGAGGGCTGTACCAGATTGGGGCATCCCTGTGCCTCTGAGCACTGGCTTCTGCATGCTGGTGTACCAGGGTGCGTGCCTCTGAGGTGTTGAAGGCCAGGCCAGGGAAGAAGGTTGTGCGTTATTGGGTGGGCCAGGTGGGTGTGGAGGAATTCTCTGTCCAGCTGCCTATCTTTATTCATAATGCTTGATTATTCCTGGCTAGAGAGCTGGGCATGCTGTTTGTGTGCTTATGTGCATGTATGCATGCACATAGGAGAGGGGGATCCCTGGGCCGGCGGTGGGCTCTTTCTTTTCCCTTCTTCTCTAACTGCTGTGGGAGTGGGGGCGGCCATGAGCCTGGGGCTGTCAGGCTGCTCACAGCTGGTCTCGATTTGCGGACAATGGGAACTCGACTCAGCTCACAGTGCAGCCCAGCCCAGCCCCAGCTCCGTCTGGGACTGCTTGAAGGCTTGCACAGGAATGTGGGGTGGAAAGGCTCTGAGGGCTCACTGCTGTAGAAGATGGTGCAAGAAACAGCCTTGCTAGAGAAGACAGTGAAGTGTGGGGGAGGCCTGCCAGCTGACCTCACCGAGCTGTGGGGGGAGGTGCGCTCAGCAGTGACCTTCAGTTTTGTATCTTGGAGTCTATGCAGCCTTGCCACTGGGGGAGGGGTGCTGGCTGACAGCCACATAGGGGCGAAGACTCAGCCAGTCAAGGGTCCATGGAGTCTCTGGAAACTCTGGGACTGGTAGCCAAGCCTCCCAACACTAGGCCTTGCCCTTTCCGTTCCTGTAGCACACTACTCCCTGACCTCAGTTTCCTGTGATCCTAGACCGCTGGAGACCCCAAGGCCCCACAGAGGGGATCTTTCCTCCAATACTGTGAACTGAGCAACAGTCTATGCCATGCTCAGCACTAGGGACTTTACACAGTAACAGGCACTCGATGGGGCAGCCACAGCCACTCGCCCCACTTTCTATAGAGTGTGAAACTAAGGATTCAAAAGGAGAATTGGCTGGTCAGGGTCACATGGCCAGTGATTTTTCAGAGTTGAAATCTGAATCCAGGACAGTCTAGATCCGCAGTTCTCAACCTGTGGGGAGCAACTTGTTTGAGGATCAAATGCTCCTTTCACTCAGGTCACCTAAGAAAACAGATACGTGCATTGCAACTCATGACAGTAGCACAATGACGGTTGTGAAGTAGCAGCTAGCATCATGTTATGGTTGGGGGTTGCCACAACACGAGGAACCGTATGAAAAGGTCACAGCCCTAGGAAGGTTGAGAACCACTAGTCTAGATGACCATTTGTGCAACAAAGCTTTCTCGGAGGTACCTTGAGCTGCAGAGCTTGGCAACCGGGCTCTGAAATGAAGTTCCTGGATCTGCCTTCTAAGCCTGAGCAGGAGCGTAAATGAAAATTACAAGGCCCAGCTTGAACTTCCATCTCAGGAGGAGCTGGAGGTCTTATTCGTTGCAGGAAGGAGCATGAAGCACGGTCAGGCCTGAAGATAGCGAGCCTGACCTGGGGTAGGTAGGAAAATTAAGCTGGCTTCTCCTTACAGACGCAGAGGCGTGGTGCAGGCATCCCTTGCCTAGGTCTTCTTAGCTACCCAGGGGCTGACTGAAGGTTGTGAAAAGCAAGCTTAGCATTGAACTGGGCTCCATTGGAAGACATGAGTTACTAAGAAACAAGAATTCTGAGAGAACGAGAGCTGAGTTAGTTCATTAGGGCGACTGGGGACCTTTGTGGCGATATAGAGGCTCTCTACCCATGGACAGCTTTGTCTGTTGCCCAAGCAATGGTCCATGAAAGCAGCCTGGGCTTGGGGGGTGGGGGGTGCGGGTGTGTGTGTGCAGGCCAACTGTGGCAGGAGGGAAGGGAGCCCAGCAGGTCCCAAGTCCTGAAGCCATCCCACCCCAGTTCTGAGAACTGCACAGAGGTGGCTGCATAGCCAGGCTGGACCCCTGAGGGCCGCTATGCTAGGGTGATGGCTACTCTGAGCGTACTCTATTCTCCTCCAGCTAGTTTTGTTAAGAGGAGCAGGGGATTCTCCTGTGACAAATGTTGGAAATTGAAGTCCTGAGAGCTGATTAGCTAAGGCCTCGAACTACTGAATGGCCCAGGCAGAATTTGAATCCTAGCTGAATTGGGCACCGGAAGAAAGAGCAGGTTCTGAGCGGAAGTCTGGGGCCAAACTGGCGGGCCAGGGCTGACAGGGCAGAGTGGGCACAGGCTGCCGGGAGGGAGAGCTGTGTGTGTTTGTCTGTCTTTTTGTAGGCGTGTGTGTGCCTGCGCGCTTCTGTGTGCGTCTCTCCCGGTGGCTGTTCTGCTTCCTCAGCAAGCCCTTCCCTCCCCCCTCCACTTCGTTTTTCCTTTCTTCTTCGCCTTATTCCTCATTGTCGTCTTCTTTTTAATGAGACTTAATTAGCATCGAGTTCCTCCTCCCTCTCCCTCTCCGCCCAGTCTCCGCCCCTGCCCTCCCCTCCTTCTCTGCCCTCCCCCCTCCTCTTCCCTCCTCCCGAGGTACAGGCCAAGCGATCTGACGAATGCACTTGAGAACAAAGCGCCAGGCTAATTCGGGGCCTGCTCAGGAAGCCGGGGCTGAGCTGAGATAATGGGTCTGAAATAGCCCGGCACAATTATGTTTCTTCAGCCTGTGGCCAGGCGGGTGCAGGCTCAGGCACTAGGGCGGACGACAGGGCGCCTGGCGCAGGGCACCAGATGTGGCTTGCTCACGGTGATGAGGGCCACGCTTCAGCACCCAAAGCCATCCTTTGCTGGCTTTCTTTGGAACTTCTCTCCTTCTGGGAGGCCTCCAGTCTCTAGCAGGGAGACTCCAAGGGTCACTGAGGATCACACACTCAACCACAGTCACCAGAGAAGTTAATGGAAAAGCTGAGTCCAGAATCCCAGAAGCCAGGCTCACTGATATCACTTCCTCTTGCTTGGCTTTGCTGTTCCATGGAAGGTATGGAACAGGGCTTAGGGCTGGCCACCAAAAAGGCCTCTCTAGGAAAACAGAGCCTTCTAGAATGGTCAGAGAAGGGACAACTGGGGTTGTTCCGGCATGCCAATCATAACAGGACACTGGCACAGTGCCCATCGGAGGGATGGCTTAGATGTCACTTAGGTATCCTCTACATGTGTTTCCTGAATCCCATCCGGAGCTTGATGCCAGACTGAGGACAGATGAGTGAGGAGAAACTGGCCTAGGAGGAACAGGGATTCCCTGTCATAGGGATCTGCCCCCTCTCGGCTCTCTGCCCTGCCATCATGCCTGCTTCTTGATGACAGACACAGACTGGAGGCTGACAATGAGAAGAGCCATGCACTTTTAATGCTCTGGGGTGACTGTCAAGGCTTCTGGTCTTCCCAGACCCAGAACTGGTGGCCTATTTGTAAACATGTGTCTATTTTGCTTCACTTTGCATCCAACCCAGGAGCCAGGCTCAGTGTCAGGCTCACTCGGAGAAACTGAGAGAGGTATGGTGTGGTGAGACTCTGTGATGACAGTTAAGGCCAAGAAGCCCTGCAGGGATGACAAGGATGGGCGTCAAGGAAAGCGTCTGCAGGAAGGTCACATTGGAGTTAGCAGTAGAAGTGACAAAAGGCTCTTCCAGTGGAATGGGAACTAGAGAAGGCTTGGGGGTTACAGGCATGGGAATATAGTGCAAAAGCTCTGAGCTGATGGGTGCTTGTTCTTCCAACGTTGTCTGCTGGGGCTAGAAGGAAGCAGTGATGAAGGATCCACTGGGCATGTGGGCTGGGCTTGCACACAGACTTGTCTGGACATGGGTGGGCAGTCAGCCCTGTAAGGGTCACCTCCCGATTCTTCCCTGTCAGCCCTCAGCTCTAACCACAACTTGAACCGCAGTCCTGGACTGCTGTTCTCCAAACAGAACCCAGGGCTTCCTGCTGGTGTTTCCATTTGTGAGCTTCACGTGTCCTGTTGCTTAAGCCTGCTGCCCTCAGCTCTGGCTCCTCTCTTTGACTATGGCAATCCCAGAGGTGAATGGAGGACTCTTCCTCTATGTACATGTACTCAGATGCAGCCTGTCACAACAGCTTGCATTTCTTTGGCACTTTCCTACCTCCAGGGCTGTTTGGGGCTTCATATACCATTCTTAATACCATGTTACCTTTCTTAAGACAGGACCTCAGACGCACGCCTTTAATCCCAGCACTTGGGAGGCAGAGGCAGGCAGATTTCTGAGTTCGAGAGTTCGAGGCCAGCCTGGTCTACAGAGTGAGTTCCAGGACAGCCAGGGCTACACAGAGAAACCCTGTCTCGAAAAAAAAAAAAAAAAAGACAGGACCTCAGAGAAGAGCCCAGTCCAGCATTCTGATTATGGCTTCCGATGATTAATACATGTCTCCCAGAGCCACCGTGGGAAGTGGCCTCAGTTGTGAACTACACAGGGGTATCTGGCCAAGAATGTGAGTGGGGGCTGGTAGTCAGCTAACATTCTGCTTCTGAGCCTTGTGCAGGTATAGGCTACCTCTGTCTACTGAGGGAGCCCTCTACTAATGGCACCAAGGTGCTGAGCGGGTGAGTGGGCCCTGCCCATCCTCCTCCAGGATCTAGAGGAAGGGGACTTGAAATGATGAACTCTCCAAGGCCTTCCCAACTGAGAAACCTAGGTCTGTGAGCTGCAACACATATCTGGTGAGTGGAGCCAGCTCGGGGACAGAGGCTGTTCCGGGCTGTGCAAAGGGACTGCATGTGAGGATTAGTGAGAGGAAATGAAAATTGGGGATGGCCCTCAGGGGAATTGACTACAGATGATGTCAGAGAGGAGGCTGCCTCCCGGAGAGTAAGGGACCCAAATAGCTGCTGCTGGGGGAGGGACGCTATCTGCATTGTCCTCCGCAGACTAGTCAGTCCACCTGGCTCTTCGACCCCTAGCCGCCTGCTAACTCTCTTTGCACCCGGGGAATGGAGGAGGCACATTCTGGGGGTTGCTAAGGGCCTTTCCATGGGAAGGCACACGAAAAAAAGCCCCAGGATGGGCTCTGACTCACAGCATCCTTCTGAGCTTGCAAAAACTCATCTCAGGGTATAAAGGAGACTGAGACTCTGGAAGATAGAAGTTGACAAAGTCCACATTTGAGCCCCATTCCACTCATCTTTAAAGCCCAGGCCTCTCCAGCTCCAGTGAACTTCTAACCAGAAACAGGAGCTCAGGTCCAGGTAGGTGTTACTGGAAATGGCCCAACAACTCAAAGCCTTCTGTGTAGAATGATCAGTTCTATTTCCAAGATTAAGAAAGGCAAAGCCACACACAGCTAATAAGTGGCACAGTGGCCAATACTAGCCTTGGGAGTGCAGAAGGGATGGAAGATGTTGAGAGAAGAGGAAAATGTGAGCTTATACACAAATGAACATGCACGTGCGGGGAATGCATGAAGTGTCCGTGCCAGCTTGGTAAAGAAAAGGAGACTGGGGGTGGGGTGGGAAGGAGGGTAGGGATGGGAGCCAGAAGTAGTTGTGGGGTAGGTAAGGAGAGGGGTGGCAAGTATGTGGACCTAGTGGTATGGCTAGAAGATGGTGCTCCAGAGGTGGTGCTCCAGAGAAGGTGGTGTTCCAGAGAAGATGGTCCTCCAGACAAGGTGGTGCTCCAGAGAAGGTGGTGCTCCAGACAAGTTGGTGCTTCAGAGAAGGGAGGGCTCCATTTAGAACGATTTTTTTCCCTGAGTTAGAAAATAGCCCTTTCTTCTTTCACAGGGAGGCTGGGCTTTTTCTCCAAGGCTCTGCCCTTGTCTGCTCCATTATGGGGGCTCTGCCTTCTCATAGATCCCCAGCTGGAGCCCCCAGCCCCACTCCCTAATTCCGGCGGAGCAGGCAGCGTGCCCGCATGCCCAATTGATTCTCCCAGCACACACAGGTAATTCATCTCAGCTTCCTTTCCAGGCCCCCACCCCAGATGTGCAGCCGTCCCAGCAGCCAGAGGCCAGCTCACCCCACCCAGATCGCTGGCCAGCTGCAGCCCCCTGTTTCCCAAGGAAGAGAACTAATAAAGGACAGTCTTGGAGCCACAGCCTCTCCAGTTCAATCTCGCCACAGCCGCCCCATAAAACGGAGGGGAGAGATATAAAGGAAACAAGTGTGAGTGAGGATGGAGTTTCCATCCAAGGAGGGGAGTGGAGATGTGGGGCCTGCAGACAGCACGCAAGAGTGATTGGCCTCTGGGGCCCAGACAAAGGCAGAATATCCCCATTTGCAGCCACTTAGGTCCCTGTGGTAGCTTTTCTAGAAGAAACAGGATACAGTGGGTGAGAAACAGGGCAGTGAAAGTGGTGGTTAGGAGCAAGGGTAGAAGGAGTGTGAATTCAGAGCTAACCTAGGCTACATTGTCAGACCCCCATTTTAACAAAACAAGAAGAGGAGGAGAAGGGAAAAAGGGAAGGAAGGAGGGAAGGAGAGAGGGAAGTTGGGAGGGAAGGAGGGAGGGAGGGAGGGAGGGAGGAGTCAAGCTGGGACCTGGTGGGGTGGTGTATACTTTTAATCCCAGCACTCAGGAAGCAGAGACAGGCAGATCTCAGTGAGTATGAGCCTAGCCTGGTCCACATAGTGGGTTTCAAGCTAGCTGGGGCTACATGGTGAGGCATTGTCTAAACAAGAAAGAAAGAAAGAAAGAAAGAAAGAAAGAAAGAAAGAAAGAAAGAAAGAAAGAAAGAAAGAGAGAGAAGGAGGGAAGCAAGCTGTGTATGATGATTCATACCTGTAACCACAGAACTTAAGAGGCTAAAGTAGGAAGACCACCACCACAAGTTCAAGGCCAGTCTGGGCTACATACCAGGACCAAGGCTATGTAGCAAAATCCGGTCTCAAAAATAAAGCAAGTCATCAAAAAGCCAGGTATGGTGGTTCACACCTGTAATCCCAGCACTTTGGAGGCAGGATTCATACATCAGCTTGCCACAAGTTCAAGGCCAGCTTGGAGAGGTACATAGTGAGACCTTGTCTCATAAATTAAAAAAAAAGGGAAGAGAAAGAAGAAGGGGCAGGAGAGGGAAGGAGGAGAAAGAAAAAGTGTGTGTGTGTGTGTGTGTGTGTGTGTGTGTGTGTGTGTGTGTGTGTGGCGGGGTAGAGAATGCCAGATAGACCAAGATGATGGACTTGGTGTGGGCACTTGAAGTTGGGCAAGCTGGAGGGCATCCTTTCTGACTTTCCTGTCCCTTTCTTGATTTTTCGAAAGGCAGAAGGTGAACAGGAGTCTGACATTGAGCCTAGTTTAGCTCTCGCCCTGCTGAATGGCCTTGCTCAAGCTCCCTACTCTTCGCCTGTGCCTCACTCTGCAATAGGGTCCAAGCAGTCAGGCCACCAGCCTGCTGCTGTATGAACGGGGATCAGTGTGTGCTGTTGGTGGGGTGCTATGGGAAATACATGGGAAGCTCTCTCCTTCGTTACCCACTAGGTCTGGCAGAACCCACAGGAGAAGGTTGGGTCTTCCAAGGTATGTGCCTGGGGTGAGCATGAAGTCTGGGCTCTTCTGGTGTGTGTCCTTATCTATTCTTCCCAGGAAAGAAGTAAGCAACTGTTAGGCCATAACACTTTCTTCCTATCCCTAGTGGATAGAGCCCTGAGCAAAAACCAGACATGCCTGTCCTCCTGACACTGACATGTACCAGAGAGGAAAAGGAGCTCCCGCCAGACATCAGGGCCTGGATGAGGGCAGCGAAGTGAGGCCTTGGGCTCTGGCTATACCAGTAGCTCTACTCCCATGCACTGATCTCTCAGGGAATTCTAAAGCTCTTCTACGAAGCCCTGGAGCCAGCACTAGGATGCTTATAGTTGGGCCCAAAATTGAAGGGGACAGTATAGTAACCAATCTCTGTATCTGGGTCCTGAGGAGAAGCCTGTCCACACCCTGGCCTGTGTTTTCTTGGAATAGAGATTCTGTCTTCTCCACATAGCCTGTGCTGGCCAATCCCACCCTTGCCTCACACAGGCTGCCTAATCTGTGTGGCCCTCATTTGCCAAGGGCATGTAGGAAGAAGGGGTGGGAATCAGGGGCCGGGAGGCCCAACAGAAACCTCCTGTTTGCCATGAGCTTTCTAATGACATCAGTGAACATGAGGTTGGTCATCATATGCCTGACTGACTGGAAGACCGTACTTTGGAGAAAGCCAAGCTGTCTGCATTTCCCACACTCGTGCTCACAGTGACTCCTGGATAGGTGTCAGATACTGAGCTTCTATACTAGGGCGTAACCGTGGCTGTGGAGGGGACAGTCCAGAACAGTTGGCTTTGGCCTCCTTCTTTGAATCATCATTAAAACTCCCAGGGCAATCAGAGGGAAAGAGAACTCAATGAAAGTACAAGATCCAGAGGCTAAGATTCAGGAAGGCCCAGCTATGGAGGGAGACAGAGAGTATGAGAGCCACAAGGAGTGAGGAAAGCCATAGGACTAAAGAAGCAGGCCAGGTTATGCAGGCAGAACCCAGCAGGGTGGACCTCAGGCAGCTAGGAGGGGCAGGATGAACACTCCTAAAGTTTTTGATTCCTTAGCCAACAAGAGTCCCTGGGACTTTTCCTAGTCATGTGCTGTGTCAGAGAAAGTGGGCCCTCAGGAACTTGTCTCCAGCATGGCAGACTGTTGAGTGACCAGGCAGACCTTGCCCAGGAGCTCCACACACACAAACCCCCCTCATCAGTTCCATGCTCCGACCTATACAACATTCCCATTTTCTAGGGTGAGACACTGAGGCCACAAAAAGATGGTAGCCACATGCTTTTCTTTCTCTGAAGTGGACAGGTAGAAGTGGTTCTGGTGCAGCTGAGGCCAGCAGGGCACTGCATATCCTGGCTCTTTCTTCCCCGTTCAATCTCCCACTCCTTTTGAAGGGCCAAAAGAAATCTCTCTCAGCTGGCTCCATCATAAAGCCAAAGCCACATGGATGCTGCAGCCATCTTTCAGATGAGGGATTTACCACTCTCAGGGTCCAGGGTGGGGGTGGGGGCACCGGTCTGCAGCCATGGAGTAGATACTGCAGATGCAATTTCTGTTGCTCTCTGAAGCTGCTACTTCTGGCTGCACTTCTCTCTCTGCTTGTCTCATCTCCTCCTTGGATTTTGAGGGGAAGAAGGGAAATGATAAACATGATACTCTCTGCAGAAAATTAGAAAAGTATTACCAAGAAAATTGACCCTATCCTTTCTCTCTCTGTCTGTCTCTGTCTTTCTGTCTCTGTCTCTCTGTCTCTCTGTGTCTTTGTTTCTCAAGTCACACATACCTTAGACATGAGATCGTGGTGTTCATTCCATTGTTGTTTCAAATTGTGACAAAAAAAGAAAACACAGCACAGAATATATTTCTATAAGAACACTTAAGGTCTCATCATGTGTAACTGCAACTCTAGAGCCATCTCATAATAGGTCTTGCCTGTCTCTGCCACTCACTCTCCAGAACTTGCATTTGGCTCTCTGCTTCTGTGCATCGGACTTTCAGCCACTCCACCTAACTGGGCCTGCATATTTTGTTCTCAGCCTGTCAGTTCACATAGCGTAGTGAACTCAAGGTCCATCCGTATTGTACCCTCTGACAGGCCCTCCCTCTCTTTCAAAATCAATATCCTCTTTACTCTGCACACCTTTTCCTAGCCACTGGTCCTTGCTTGGTACCCAGCTTTCATCTGTTTTGACACAGTGCACTTGGCTTTAGGTCTGTCTCTTTGAGATTCCCCACTGGAATTCCTTTGGCTACTTACCTAGAAGTGAGATGATAGGATTATCTGGTAGTGTTACCCTCAATTTCCCGAGATCTTCCCTACTTATTGGCTGTGCTATTGACTTTGCCCCCAATAGTGGAGAGGGGCTCTCCTTTCTTCATGTCTCCCATTTCTACCTATCCTCAGAGGTAGGAGCTGACATCACATAGTGCTTCTGACTTACAATTACCTACTCAAGAATGGCACCTTCTCCATCATGTGTGGACCATCTGTGTGTCTTGTGCCTAGTCTGTTTTGTGCCCTGAATTTCCCACGTGTCATTGTGCTATAAGCATTCCTCCGTGACATTCAGTATGTTTTTTTCCCCTTCACCCCGAGGACAGGGATCTGAACTTTGATAGTCTCAAACCCTGCCAGGTCCAGTTGGGGCTTAGCACAGTAGCAGCATATAAGCAGCAGGTGGCAGGGGGTGAAAAACAACTTAGAGTAGACCCTGGATCAGAGAAGCTTAGAGGAGAGACTTTGGCAGAAGATGGTCTTAGTTTCAAGTTGACAGTTTTCCTATATCCAGGCTGCCAGGCATTGGGAAGTCCATTGAACTCTGAGCCCTGGCTTAGTTAGGGCTACTGTTGCTGTGATAAACCACCATGACCAAAGCAGCTTGAGGAGAAAATGGACTATTTGGCTTATATTTCTTCATCACAGTTTATCATCCAAAGCACTTAGAGGAGGAACTCAAACAAGGCAGGAACCTGGAAGCGGAAGCTGAAGCAGAGTCCATGGGGGATGTTGCCTATTACCTTGCTCCTCATGGCTTTCTCAGCCTGAACCCAGGACCACCAGTGTCCTGGGCCCTACCATATCAATTACTAATTAAGAAAATGCCCTGCAATCTTGCCTACAGATCGATCTTATAGAGGCATTTTCTCATCTGAGGTTCCCTTCACTCCGAGGATGCTAGCTCATTTCAAGTTGACATAAAACTAGCCAGCTCGCCTCCCATCTAGAAAATGGAGACGATGGGAAAATCTATTTCACTGTTTCATCACCCCTTTGTGTGGTCTCACTCAGCTAATACATGCCAGGACTTGACCACAAGGAGTCTCCTGTGAATGCCAGAGCAAGCATCTTGTAGCAGTGTGGAGGGACTACGAAGTCCTCCTGTCTTCCTGGTCTGTCTCTTCTGAATTATTGAGTATTGTAGTGGATGACACTTTTCAGTTTGGATTTTTTTCAGATCTTAAGGAATAAAGGTTTTGGAAAGAAGGTGTGTGTGTTGGATGGAGCACTTTT